CGAAGCTTTTGCTTGACAACCCTAAACTGTTATGTAAGAGATCGAAGGAAATCCACCAAGGATTTTTGACCTATCCAATGCTATATGTTGAAACTTTTGCTTGACGACTATAACACGTAAAGGAAAAGGTTGAAAGAAATCCACCAATGATTTTTTACCTATTTGAGGCTGTATGTCGAAGCTTTTGCTTGACCGCTGTAGCCTGTAATGGAAAAGGTTGAAGGAAATCCACCAATGATTTTTGATCTATCGGAGGTTGTATGTCGAAGTTTTTGCTTGTCGACTGTAGCCTGTAATGGAAGAGGTCAAATCGAGTCCCCCTGGGATCGATCGATTTAGCCTAGAATGAGGTGTCAGAGATGCTCTGAGTTTCTCGAGACTAGGGCGTAGGACGTCATGGACCATATGTTTTCTTGAAAACATGGTTGCAATCATACTCAAGAAAAATGTTGGACAACTTATTATTTGCCGCTTTTAAATCTTTTGCTCCCCTAACATGGGTGTTCTCCATGCGAGATTGTAAAACAATACATGTATTGGGCTTTGCAGAGATCAACTTTCTGATCTAGTTGAAGAGGAACTTAAGTACGATGAAGAGGCACTAAGGAAGCATTATTTGGGGTGAATATTGCCCCCAGTCCAGGTATAGTTCTCATAAACTTGTAATATGAAGGAAATATGAGATGACTTTCCCACCACAGTCATGCACGAGATTTTGACATGAACAACCTTTCAAGAATGCAATGAAGGTTGCCCCCCAGTTTGGAAGAAGTTACAAAATACCTTGTGTCTGAATATGATGTGAGAAGACAACCTCACTCCAATCATGCTCGAGACGTTGATGTGAATGACCTTTCGATAATGCAGTGAAGGTTGCCCCCCAACCTGGAAGAATGCTTCAGACATGATTTTCAAGACGTAAATGAGGTTCCTTCGCCAGTTAGATGATATACATCATTGTGAAACGAAGTAGGGGATCAACATCTTAGAGTTGAAGACAAAGTCGAACGGGACTTCGTTTCCCACAAATGGTGCCAAACTAATGCGTGCAAGAAAATTCTTGGCAGTAAAGTAATGGATTGTCATCTTAGCGTTGCATGAGAATTCAACACACATAAATAAAAGAAGAGAAGTAAGCTAAAGGAGACACCTTAATTTTTTATGTGTAAAACCCTTGAAAGGGAAAAAAAATCACGAGGTCTAGTCCAGTTGAAATAATTAACTATGAATGATGAGTACATAGATCCATCCTTCTCCTAAAGTAGAGAAGATAGAATTACAAAGTTGTATAACTATAATTTGACTGCAGTTCTTGGTAACAACATGTTGCAAGGGTCATTGTCGATTGTTGTGGAGGTAGTAGTCCATCATGAGTGTTGTAAATGGTTGCTCCAGAAGCGTTGATTGGCCAAAGAAACCAGAGTAAGCATTTACCGGAGCTGTGGACCACATAGGCCGTAGTAGTGAGTATGAAAGACATCCATAGGCCGCGGGAGTCAAAGTCAGGAGCTGCACGAGGTCATTGTTGACACATGAACCGCAGTGATGACTGACGACGTCTGATTGGTGGTGATCGACAATGATTAGTGGTGATCAACGGTAATTGTCAACAGTGGCTAACGACGATCGACACGCGTCGACAACGACCGACGGTGGTCAACGAAGGTCAAGATGGTGCTGAACTTTAGCTCCTTCTCAGAGCTTCCCATTCTCTCTGAAGCTTTAACTTTCCCCCTCATGTGAGGGGTGAGGCTTTATTTATATTATTTTGAGTGTCATTAATGCATGAATATGAATCATTTTGATCAGACGGTCCGGAGAGCTTCCTCCGATCAAACGATGTTTAATGAACATTTGAGTGCCTTAACAATGTTAGAATTACGTAATCTTGAGTTCGTTGGATTCGTCTTGTCGAGACGCTCGATTCGACCATAAACTTGCCAAATTAGGCAACCGTTTATTGTTGGATTCGTCTTGTCGAGACACTCGATTCGACCATAAACTTGCCAGATTAGGCAACCGTTTGACTTCCTAAATGTTTCCGAAAATCTTCTAAGAATGGTTTAATTATTTGATCTGGCTTGATTTGACTTGGATTGAAATGACTTTGATATCATTAGGTTCGTCTCATCGAGCTGGCCAATTTGACTATAAGTATGCTGAAATTGGAGCTCTGGATGAATTTTTATCGAGATTTGAACATCCCTTGCTCAAAATATTATCTCAAGATCCGTGCCATGCCTCGAGATTTGTGCTGGATAAAGAAGATTTGGTGGTGGCGTATCAAAAACTATAATTCAAACATAGAGACTGTTGTTACCTTACAAACCACACACTTTTAGATGTTTTTGCTAGTCCACTAAGATTAGATTAAGTTGATGATGGATTGTATGTGTTTTTCTTTTATGTGCACTTGCGTGCTTGGATTGAATGTGTTTAACAAATCTACTTTTATCATTATAGATGGACACTAAGGTATGTTGTTATTTATGTAGATTAAATATTTGGGCGATGTTTATAAAACTAACATTTATCTTCTGCAGGTGGTCGAGCTAATAGCTAATAAAAGTGGACATAAAAAATAAATAAAACTAATAAATCTTCTACAGGTGCTTGCTAACTCATGCCTTCATATATAAGCATGATCTTATAGGACATGGGGCCTGGTGCTGCAGTGTAGTGAAAGGCTCTTGTTTTTACTTTCTTGCAGTTGAGTTTGCAATAGAGTTAGGGTAGTCAGTCTGTTGCTGGTTGGATGCAATTCTAAAGACTGTCTGAAGTGAGACTTACTTCATAATAGAACAATAATGAACACATACAAGATGATGGAGCGAGGACGAACCTCAACACAACCTCAATGCAAGACGATGAAGCTACGATGAACCCTAACAAGACGATGGAGCAAGGATGAACCCCAAAATACGAGAACATGAACTAGAGATATTCAAGAAACCTAGCCACCATCAAGTTTGTCTTAGGTTTAGGCCAGCCTAAATTAGAAGCTTAACCTCTACCGTCTCATGTTTTCTTTTCTATTAGGGTGTACCGCAATACCTAATCATACTAACTTGTTTCTTTTATTTATTTGCTTGGTTGGTTTGTTTTATTTTCTCATGCTTGTGCATGTGTATTTTTTTGGCTGATATACACATTAGAAATATTTTCTTTTTTCTATGTTACTTTCTGTCATTTTGTGGCTAGTTAGTTCTGAATGAGCTTAGGCTCATAGGATTAAGAAATTTTTTACCAACCCTAAACTTTTAAGTTAATTTTTTAAAAATAAACTCATAACTAAAATAAAATAACATAATTCGTAACTTAATAAAAAATATTTGCATTCACAACCCAAGTATTGTATTGGCATTCATTTAATAACAAGTAACTTAAATAAAATTCTAGTAGTAACCTAGGGGAACAATATACATATAAAAGCATTATCTTGTGCCTTTTTATTTCTTCGATTCTAGTAGTAACCTAGGGGAACAATATACATATATAAAAGCACTATCTTGTGCCTTTTTTATTTCTTCAGACATTCACTCATTGCACAAAAGGGGGTATATTTATCAGAGCCCACTTAAGGAGTGAATTTTACCTTAAGGAGTGAGGATCACCACCATTAAAGAGTGAATCTTACCTCAAGGAGAGAGGATCACCACCCTTAAGGAGTGAATCGTAACGAAAGTACAATACCTATAAGAAAATTATTATATGAATTTTTTTTAAAAGATACCCACAATTTTAAAAGAAATTATATTTTCAATAAATTCATAACCCCTATTACAAACAATTACAACAATTCCAAATGAAACCCTAATGAGCAAGTTTCTACATTCAATGGCGGTGGTGACAAAAAAGGCAATGAATGATTGGTCTTTTGTTCAACAATGGTGACTAGCAAACCATGATAAATATGTAGCATTATCAATAATAATAGCAAATGAAATAAAATGCTAATATATAAGAATATATTTGATGTTTTCTTTGTACTTAAAATTTGAACATTCTTAGCATTCTTCTTTAAAAAAAAAAAAAAAAAAAAAAAAAAAAAAAAAAAAAAAAAAAAATCCTAGATAAAAAAATTTGACCAAGCCAGCATGTTTCAACACCATCAGCTGAACAATGGTACAAAAGCTACATAATTTCCAATTGCACCTGAGTATCACTATTATACTGCCCAGCACAACCAATTGTAAGAGGAAGAAGACAACGATGCCAGCATGTTTCAACACCATCAGCTGAACAATGGTCCAAAAGCTACATAATTTCCAATTGCTCCTGAGCATCACTATCATACTGCCCCAGCACAACCAATTGTAAGAGGAAGAAGACGACGAGGGCAAGGAAGAAGATGATGCTGAGTGACTTCTACTGTTCTGTCTTCATTTCGTTGTACATTTTGCATTTTGTTAATATTTTTATGCTTCTAGTTTTATGATGCATTTCAGTTCTTGTACTCACTTGCTATGTTTTCATATCAAACATGAATATACATATAATGTACACATTCAAGCATATTTATATTTATATGCACGTATATATTAGGCCTATAGGTGTCTGGATGACACTATTTAAAAAAGAAAAAATATCAAATTGATGTTGGCTCACATAAAATACCAGATTAATTTAGCTGCATCCATAGCAAAGTTTGAGATTAGTCAAAGCTTGAACCAGACATTTCTAGATCTGAAAAACTAATAAAAAAAGGGAAATTTACATAAATACCACAATTTTTATGTATTTAAGTATCTAACTCCCAAAGTTTGATTTCTATTGACACTTTGTTGTCATAAACTTATGCACATATTTCACTTTTAAAAAGATGACGATGATGATATTTATGGCATGGTGGTATTCATTTTAATATAAATGGTAGATTGTTAGTTATGTAAATACATAAGAATAGTCTCTTTAAGGAAAAAAACATGAAACGCGGCTAGCAATCAAAAGCACTCGTAACCGCTCGGTGTCACAAATCAAAATATAAATAAAAAATAATATAAATACGACCCAAATGACTCCTTAGCTAACAAAATATATCAAACTTAAGGGTACAAATAGGATAACATTTTACAAATGATTCATAGCAATTTCACAAAAAGTTCTACATTAGTAGATATTATTAGATAGATTTATTTGAGCCAAAGGCATATTTAATTAAGATGCTTAATAAACCAATCAATCATTTCCTTATGAGATTCTTCAGCCTTCTTCACAGCCGCTTCATCAGCAACATCATAGCGCACCGTCCATCCGTGTGCAACCCCAGGAAAGATTTTCACATAGCTATGAACCTTACATGGTGACATGGAGCAATTGTTATTCATTTTCTTAAAAAAAATGATGTGTCGATGCTATAATTAAGGTGCATTAGATTAGTACTATTTTTACATTTTCAGGAATAAAAATAGAAAAATAAAAGTTGAGTATTGACTATGCTGGCTGCTATAATATTTGTATATAAATGGCAAATCTAGTCTTAAGTGCATCCGCTCTCGCAATGAAAAATGTATAATCTTTGTATATAAATGGCAAATCTAGTCTTAAGTGCATCCGCTCTCGCAATGAAAAATGAAAGCAAAGAAATATCAAAATGGTCCCTTAACTATTTACAAGAGATTATTTTAAGTCCTCATACTTTTCAATATGGGTTGAAATAAATCACTCTTTAAAAAATCTTGTGGGCTATTACAACTCTTATTTAAAATAGTCTGTAGACTAATCTAACAATTTTATAGACTCAGACAAAAAACGACGACTAATTTAACAATTTTATAGACTCAGACAAAAAATGACCTCGTACAAAAAGTAAGGAATCATTTTAACACTTTTTTCAAGAAAAATGAGTTGCTCCACAAATGAAATCATAAAGAATGTTTATGCATATAAACTAAAACTATTCTTGGAAAAGTTGAGCAACAAATAAGAAGGTCAAATATCTTTATATACCAAACAGAAATGAATCAGGTCGTTTAAGCAATTGCTTATACAGAAGAGAATAAGTGTGAATTCTTCTTCTAAATAATAACTAATAAGCAATCCAAAACCATTACATTGCCTCAGCTCTTATGGTTTATGCTCATTATGTTCTATGAAAGTCAGGTAATGAAATCTTCTTTTCTAGCATTGAACACTTCTGTTTATTCATCTTGTTGTGAGAAAGTCAGATATTGATATTTGAGTAGTCCCGTTTTAAAGTACACATTTAAGAGTTGATTCTACGATGCACGCGATAACTTCTTGTTTTAAATTTAAGGCAATGTTGTGTGCACCATACGGTGGTGGATTTCCTTTGGAAGGACACTAATCCTTCTTTTATGGTATCACCAATATACTCTATAGTTTTGGTGCCCTAAACACTTATTGAAGATTTACATCCAGTTTTTTAGCCCTAACTTTCATTCTTGAAATTCATTTTGGTTTTCAAGCAATCTAGTTCTTTGTTCTTGTTGACCTCATTTTTGTGAGGTCATCTCTTCTCCTCCTTAGAGCCTAGGATCTAGTTCTAGGATTTCTTATTGACCGTCTTAGAAAATTAGAATTGATACCCACACTTTTAGAAAATTCTAGCCAATTCTTATTTTACTTTGATGTCTAACATCTTTGGCACAAGACCATCGTCTTATGAACGAGTGGTTATGGGTTATTTTGCGAAGGCTCAAGGGAAAAGTTCCTAATAGGACTTCAAGCCTTAGGAAAACATCGTCAGGACTTTTTCGTTACATACACACACCAAATACATAAAGTTCACAAAATTGCACGAAATCGGACTTCAATTAAGCCCAGAGGAGGGGTCAAAATGCGAACTTCTCCGGACGATCTCCGACGACAAATTGGACTGCGCCAACGCGTCCGGGATACCAATTTTGGTAGGAAAGGACATCTATATTGCCATATTTTCGACACGAGAAAATTGACACAAATCGATGAATTCGTCAAAACGACCTCTGACGGCAAAACAGACAACACCGGTGCGTCTGGAATGCTGAAATTACCTAGAGAGGACACCCATTTTTGCTAGGGCGCCGTACATGGATAAATCACATGAAATTTTATATATATATAATTTTGTTTTTTTTTCTAAACCTAAATCCCTAAATCCCACGGTTCGCTCGATCGCACGGCTCTCTTTCTTCCCGTTCGCGAGGCCTGCCCGTGCTTTCT